AGCAAACCTGTGTCTCCTGGTGATTAAACTATGATTAATTATTTATTAATTTAGTCGTTAATTTACCCGTGGTAGCTCAGATGGTTAGCGCTCGCTGTAAGCTTCACAGTACTCGAGCAACGCGGGTTCGATCCCCGCCGGCACCAAAATTGTTAATTGCAATTTTAAGTGCTGATTTACAACGTGCTCGGTGGTGAAAGAACCTGCATGTCTGAGAAATAAAGAAAAAATATTTCGAAGACATGTGAAGTTCGCCAACACGCATTTGGGCAGCGCGGCCGACATTCCCTTGCCCTAAAACCCTCTCAGTAATGAGAGGAGGCCTGTGCTCAGCAGTGGGACGTAAATAGGCTGCAACTTTACTTTACTTTTTTAGTCGTTCTCGATCCAAAATTGTGTTTAACAAAAATTCTAATTCAGACACAAGTTCGTTCCGGCATAAACGGTGTAAAAATCATCAACATCACCAGTGCTGTAGTCGGCACTCCGCATAGCAATTAATGTTTTGCATCATATTATTGATATGCAGAAGAAACAGCGTAAGTGACAGCAAAAAACCTCGTGAAACACCAGCATTAATAAACTTATAGACAGAGCATGCATCATCTACTACGACCATGATACCGATCTGCAAAAAAACTTGTGATCCAATGGGGGCTAATAATTTTCCGCTCACCAGATGTCGCTAGTTGACACTGAGGTAAAGTTTATTGTTACACAATGTAATTTAATTGAGAAGTTGTTTTTTAATAAATGTTTATCAGTTTCTAGATTATTATATTAATACAAAAATAATGCGTCAGTGGTTTCCTTTTTAAAATATTTGTACATTTTTAACTATTTATAATTTTTCTACTTTTATGAATATCTGTGATTTGGTTTATTTATTTTGAATGTTATTAATATAAAATATAGCTAATAATACAAAAAGAAACAATAAGTCTTACATTTTCCAAATAAATTAACTTTACCGCTATGAAATCTGTCAAATGTTATACCTCCCTTTCCAGTGGCGCCGCCCTGGTGGTAGAAAAAGTCGTGGATGCCCTCATTGCACAATTTCTCAATACAATACTGTAGTCACGAGTAGATACTGGATTTTGAGCTTATTGACTAAGACTCAGAAATTTATAGGATAACGGATAACTTTTGCTATTGCCAAAACAACAGAAAACAAAAAGAATACCCAACCATGCATTTGTATTTCTTGTCTTAGAGTCATTTAAATATCTTAGTGTGTAAACAGAAATAAAACACCCGCAGGCATAGTGCCAAATATTTTATATTTTTTAAAATAATGCGGTTATAACACTTTTTACGCATCAGTCTAATTGATATTAATCGCAAAGCTCTTTCTTCTTTAACTTCATTCTTTATAGCAAACTAGTCTTAAAATATCTCAAAAAATTGCAAAGAAATTTACAAATATACCTAGAACCAATATTGTCGTTCAACACTTGAAAGTAATTTAAAGGTGATTGGGAATATTCTGCTCCGTTTTTATTCGTCCCGCAGCTTTACGAGCTACGTTACTTTTATCGCCACATAGTTGACAATGGCGGAGTACGCGGTATATACACGGTAACTAGCCAGCTCTGGTTAATTAAACTGTAATCGGCTGGAAATTAGTTTCCATAGTACGTATCGCGTAGATTTTTTTAAAGTTATTTATTTGATCTATTTGAAGGCAGTGTAATAACGGCATTAATATTGGTTTTAAGTTTTATAAAAGTATATTTTTATTAAATAATCTCAATTATGAAACTGAATTCAGATGCGTTGTCACCCGTGAGGACTAAGATGGAAGGACTCGTTGCCAATAAAAATAATGTGTCTCCAGTTCTTTACATTCATCATACCTACGTTCAGTATTATTCTGCTGTTTTACGGTGGTATTCTGTGAGAGCGTGGTCGTGGACCCCGGGTCGAGCAGACTCTTTCGTGCTATAGCCATAATATAGCTACAGCATGGTTCAACAACATTTAGAAATTTGTCAGACATTTTAACAGCTTTGTAGTGCAGTGAATTCTGATCCCGCACTGAACACGTATTTTTTGGCCTACAAACTGTTTTGGGTTTGGATATGTATGCATGTGCGATTTATGTATTAAAGTCATCTCCACGATACAAAAGAAATTACAAGTGGGGAAACCTTTTTATATAACATAAAAACATAGAATCAATAAGATATTAAAATCGTGCACAGCATTTAATTTGAAGGATATGCATTCGCTATGAAATTAATCAATTACAATCGTTTCACCTTCTCCTACAATAGCCTTTAATTATTTCAAATTGAATGGGGCTCTTCCAGAGCAGAGAGGATCACCAGTCGCCGCGTTTTGCAGGTAAATAGATCACTGATCGCCGTACCTACCGGATGTCCTGCCCTCATAACGATGATTGTAAGGAAGGATTGTATGTATGCATATTATTATAGCAGATTAATTCGTCGTTCCACTAACATGGTATTAAGGATAGAATATTTATGAAATGTAAGTTAACTTGTTAAATTGTTTCAGCCTAACTGCGTCCTTAAAAGGTAAAAAGCTATTTATTGGTAAAATAATATCAATGGTTCAGTCGCAGATTTGTCCGTGAGTGAGTATTCTAAAGCGTTAATCAAAGTCATTCTCGAAGCCAGCTAATTGTGATAATTAGCGTTATTAATTAAGGTATTTCCCAACGCAATCGCGGCTCAGTCACGACATGCGAGTGTTAATAATGGCGGTAAAGGTCAAACAAATCCGCCTACTACACATGCCTCGATCTTTGTTAAAATATCATACATGATTTAAAACAATGCTGATTGGAATAAGTAATTTCTTGTGGTCTTATCCTAAACACTCTTGCACAGTTGTTTCTGAACAGTTTTTTCATAATTAAACTTCAAGCGGGAATGAATATGTATGACTTAGGCAATTCTGTGTTTACGAACGGAGAAATGCCTCAAATGCCAAAAAATCCCAACCCAAGGAATGCCATTATGCCACCTTTGTGGCATTCCTTGGGGGAGGCCTAGGTTCTGCAGTGGACTTGTGAAGGGCTGTAATGATGATGATGATGATGATGAAACGGAGAAATAAAGCCATCGTAGTTCCAAAAATAAAAAGTATTTCAAATAGAATTTTCACTTTCGAATAAATCTAATGTAACTTTAGTAAGTAACTATGTTAGTTTATAGTAACACTCTAAAAGATAAACTAGTTTAGGATTGATTCAACTCCTCAGCAGTAATTGTCTCGAAATTGTTGTTAGTCGATTAAGGATAATATGTGGAAAACCCAGTGCCTTTTCCAAATCTATTCTTTATAAACATCATTAATTACGCCGTGTGATGGCAGCGCAATAAAAATTAATTTCATCTCGAAGATGTTATATAAGGTGATTATAACATGTGCTATTGAGACATTGTGGTCTTCTATAGACAGAAGCAGCTGATGTATAATGTAAAAGAAAAGTAAAGTAAAGTAATAGTGATATGTCTGTCTGTATTAATGCTGGAGACAGACCTCTGCACATTTTACGTCTGGGCGGGTGTTTGTGGCAGAAGAGACCTACGCACTGTTCCAATGCGTGTTAGCAGATTTCATCTGTCTCAGAAATATATTATCACTAGTAATACTATATACCCAGACCGGCGAAGCAAAGTAGCGTAAAAGGTGAGAGACGTCTGGTTCAGCAATTGTCTTTCCGCTTGTCAAGTGAGGCGGTTACCGCAAGTTGAATATATATCGTATAATGGGAAGAGGACCAAGTTCAATAGTGAATGTTACGTTCTAAATAGAATGAGAATATTCATTAGACTATTATATATGTAGTAAGGAAAGAAGTACCAGGGTAAAATTGCAACAATGCGCTGGAGAACATTATAATGTCCAAGAAAAAGTTATGTCTTATGGTGTCTGTTAGTGGTTAAGTGGTAACAATTTACCCATGCTTCAATTTTTCATGTGTAAATAAGAAAAAGTGTTTGTCTGGTGTATGAGCGTACCCATTTTATTATATATATTAATCAGACTAAATATAAGTTTTATACAGATACAAATTTTTTAAATCTTTAAAATGGTCAAAATTTCGAATTGCACAATCATAATGATGGTGATTATAGAACAGACTTAATCAAGGAGATCCGACGCCAGTGATGTACGTAGTACTTTATGAAATTTAATGTTGAACAAGTTACAACAAACTTACGTTTAATCACCGTGACAGAAAGTATTTTAAAGTATTATAAATTTATCGTTCACTGCAATTTACCAAATTTCCAACGTTAAAAAAAAACTGAAAAAGCAAAACGAAATAGTAAATATCGTTATTTTGTTAAATATAATTGAGTATAAATATTCATTATTACCGTATAAAAGAGTGGCGAAAATTGTATGGCTGTACTGTTCATTAAAGTGAATAAACGAATATACATATAAAGGAAAAAATAAGAGTTTATTATCCCGAGCCGTCCGAGAATATTTTTCAGCAAGAACTTAAATAATTCATTTCAGTAAGCGATTATATTATTCATTAGTGTTATATCAAACTATTTTGTTTTGTGTAATATAGATGTGATAATTTTAATATTGCAGAAAATGGCCGTAAATTCGAGATTACTACACGAATACATGTACAACTAATGTGCCATGTTTTACCACAGACTAATTTTAGCAATTAAAAATTAAATGGATTACTTTAGTATCTACACAATAGTACTTCAGAGTTTCTTCTCTGCTATTATTGTGGTAAATAGTTGTACTACATAAGCTTTTGAATTTACTGTAAACAATTATTATCTTCATCATTTCTCCTGAGGAAAGACTATGACTGAACTTTAGAACTTTAGGCGCTGTTCTTCTTTTTGGGAATTACCATTAACGCAGACAGAGATCCCGCGAGTAAGAAAGCCGACATAAGGTCAATTTGAAGTTTTAAATATTATTTATCACGTAATGAAATAACGTAGCTGACTCACCTCCTCATAGTCCCGATAAGAGTGGGGCGGCGCTCATTCCCGCGAGCGGCGCGGACGTCCTACTTTGCCCTTTCGCAGCGGCGCGCCAGGTCCGGGCGCTGCGTTCGCGCTCTTCATCAGCTTCTGCCAGTCCTGTTCGCACACCAGCGACCCCGCCAGCATGTAATACCTATACAAATATATAAATATATCTTCATACCTATGAACATATACCAATAGGTTTTAAGTTCACTGCTGTATCCAGGCTTTCGATGAATACCAAGGTGAATGTGTTTCGTATGGTGAGTGACAAAATCTGAAGATCTTTTTTACTAGCAGCGAGGTATGTAGTGTTTAGTCATGTAATCATCAAGGGGTGACCTCTACCCATATATAAATATTCCTAAACGTGTGTTTCAAATTTCATTCTAAATCGAAAATAAATCGAGGACCTTTGGAATAGAAAGGAGCTTTGGGCAATAAAATCCATTTATCATTAGGTGAACTGTGTGCCTGTTTGTCACTATTACTTCTATTAAAAAATGCGCCATCTTGTACACATTACTTTGAAGATATGCCCACATTCACCACGTACAGTAGCGTTGCGCTGACATCCTCGAGCTTGAAATGCAACTCCCAATCACTCGCCAATTTGCGAAATTTGAGTTAAGCGTCGTTGGATCGAATTTTCGCCATAATCGGTCACCAGTCTCATCTATCTATCAGTAGGGCACTTATAAAATGATATACCTTCCTACATAAATTGTAGTTTTTCTTATGCCACCGCCACCCTTCTAATAATACTAAATAACACTACACAAGTCCAAATATTCTTAGTTAAGATTTTCTATCATTGAAGTAGGTTTAATTTTTAATTTAATTATATTATAATTTGAATTATATATATATATATATATATATATATATATATATATATATATATATATATATATATATATATAAAGCGAATCCCAAATAAAAAATTGTTTCTTTCAGTCGGGACGTTACCTGTCGCCCTGCATGAGGTGTGAGCCGCACTTAGAACAGGCGAAGCACTTTATGTGGAAGACGTGTAGCGGCTGCTGGGGCGCGCTGGTCCGCATCACGAACTCGCTCGCGGGGATCGCCTGCCCGCACGCCGCGCACGCACCGCTTGACCCAAACATTCTGGAACAACCAGAGAACCGGTTTAATATAAAAGCTGACACTTAAATTTGTACTAAGCTTTTGTAATATTGGAATGTTTTTAAATAACTGATCCTAGTAATTTAGAAATACGAGAATATACGAAGGCCTTATTAAGAAATTCACAGTATCAGAAGTTAGCGGTGTTTCATCCCTGTGCCTCGGAAAGGACGTAAAGCCGTTAGTCCTGCGCCTAGTTTTATTGCAGTCATGTCGGATTGCCGACATTTTCCATTGGATTATGACCGCCGTGACTGAAATTTGGCTTGAAAAAATTAACATCATCATTAGAGCCCATTCATTACACGACAACTACTGAACATAAGCTTACTCTAAGGAATGCCATTAAGTCACCTGCATGGTGTATTCTTCACATTTAATTTTGTCTGTCAAGGACATATAAAAGCTTTAATAATATTTTTATAGTTATTTATGATTGCCCCGCTACACGCTAGTCTGTGTGGTCTTTGAATTTGGAATTCTATAATTATAAAAGACATATAAATATTAAATGACTTTTAAAATATGTGCCTCACCGTTAAATATTTTATATAATTTTAATATTTACGTTATATTATAATTATACGTCTCCTTGCTGAGAACAGACACTCTCTTACTTAGAGGGTTTTAAGACAAGATAGCGTCTACGAGAGCGACACTGAAAGTTTTTAGAACTGGCCACTTGAATATAATAAGAAAATAAGTTCAAATTTTGAAATAGAACTCTTTGCCAATGTTATTGTGTATGTATTTTATTAATTTGTCATTTGTTTACGATTTTGCGGCAAATTAAAAATTGTCTGTGTAACGTCAGCATGAATTTAACGCGACAAAATTTTCGTACAGTGATTTTTTATGACTTTCGATGTCATTTAAGTCAATAAGAAAGTTATGATAGACTTCGATTTTCCTTTTAGTAGCGATGGTTTGATGTAAATGGACACTATTTTGAAAAGATATAATAAAACTAATAACTTGCTAGTTTGTTCAGTTTTTGATTTTCTAAGAACTTTTAGTGTCACCCTCGTATCGGGCGCGCGGCTCAATGTGTGTTGGACTTAAAACATGTCTTCGAAATATATTTTTTATTTTTCAGACATATAGATTTCTTCAACATGGTTTGCTTCACCACCGAATACCTGGTAAATCAATGTGTGTTGGACTTAAAACATGTCTTCGAAATATTTTTTTTATTTTTCAGACATGCAGATTTCCTCAACATGGTTTGCTTCACCGCCGAGTACGTGGTTAATCAAGCACTTCAAATTGCATTTAAAATTTCATTGGTGCCGACCGCGTACACTTAAAACGGTATATGTTATAATATAATAGCATTTATAATAACCCGGTTTTTAGACCATTATCTATGACAACACGTGTAACGCTTACTTAATATGCATTAACGTAATTTAAACGGCTCTCTACCAGTTTTTTAATAGCTTTGCACATGTTTTCGCAACAGAAACCTACGTAAAAACATAATATTGTAATACTACATGCGAACGTGATGACGCGATGTTTTTAGTAAGAATGAAATAATTTTGGTAATGTCATCATTAGCCCATAGCAGTTTATAGGTGAGTATTGGTTTTTCTCCCTGTAAGGAGGATTTGCTGTAATCCTGACGCTTGGCAGGCGAATTAACTATTGTAGTGCAGTGCAGTGCTAGTGATCACACCTTTAACGCTTCTGCCGGTCGCTGCTCTGGATATTTTAAGTGTGGCGTAAATGAGATGGTCGTTTAATTATATGTCTGGGGTCATATTGTGATCTAGCAGAAGCCATGACGTATTTTTGACTTTTTTCAAAACTGCCTCTTACACTATCCACGGTCGACCCGTACTTATCGTAAGACTATATTAAATGGGGCTGATTTATTCTCTTATACCAACACTAATTTTATTTTAACACAGACAGACAGGGGAGATCTTACGGAGACTACAACGTATATTACATACGCGGTAGAGCCATGCTGCAGCTATATTACTCGTATAGCTGTAGCACGAGTGGGTCAGCTCGACCGGGGAAGGACCACGCTCTCACAGAATACCAGCGTAAAATAGCACCTTAACACTGCTGTGTTTCGTATGGTGATTGTAGAGAACCGGAGATCCTTTTTAAGGGAAAAGAGGCATTCCATCTTCGTCCACATTTTGATTCTTGATCGTGGATAAATGTAGAAGTATATGGGCCACAGCATCTACTTACCGTCAGGTGGACTGTGTACTTGTTTGTCACCCTTATCCTATAAAAAAATATGGACTGTAACTTTGTATGGAATTAGTATAATGATTTAGTTGGTACAATAAATCGTGCAATTATAAGATATTATAGTCATTAACGGGTTAAATATTTCAGTACGGTGACAAAGCTACACTCCAAAAGAAAAAAGATCTGCTCGGTGTCATCATTCATAAACCTTGCACTGTTTTTAAAATACAGTCGAACTATCCATTCCTAAGTCAATTAAATAAACAGCGTAGCCGAGCCTCTTTCCGTTTATCAGATCACTCGAGAATGTTAAATTTAATGTCAGTTCGATACTTAGACGGCGGCAACAATTTTAACAAGCGAGTCTGCCACGATTATTGCTCGTTAAACTTTGATAAATGGTTAATAAAGCAAAGTAACAACATTTTCTATAAATCAATTCCAAGAACGTATGGCCAGCAGTACAGGTGTAAGTGGTATTTGCACTTACATTATCGGACGTTTAAACAGATTGAATGTTTTAAGAGTATCTTTCATAATGTAATGTTCGTTAACATTAAATAATTTCTTCACATAAATACGCCTATGGTGTTTTAATATTAATGTTCATAGCGTGCCATGACTATAACGCACTCAAATCAAATTTATGGGTGTTATCAAATTTATCTATTTTAATTTTCAATTTTAACTCAGATATCTCTAAAAAAATTCGTAGTTGGAATTTACAATAAGTACTAAGTATAACTATGAGGTTTATTTATTATACTTCCTTTATATACTTATTCTTTCTATGTCGACCACAAATTTAACGAGAAAATGCAGAATAATGTTACATTTAAAAACGCAATAAAAGTTATTTCGAAATGCTTTTATTTTTTACTTTCACAATAAATTAAAATTTTATACACAGGTGAAAATAAAAACTTTCTACATCGAATGTTAATGGTTAAAATACAAAAGTGATTAAATGTTAATGATGTTTATAAGGCAATGAAACACATTAACACCTAATGCAATAAAATACGACTGTCAGTGTTGCCATTAATTTAATTATCGTTACAATAAAAACCTTGCATAATATTTAAATTCAAAATAAACATTCAAACATGTCGAGTGGCAATTATTAAATATTAAGGATTCATTTAGCTTCTTTATTTTTTTTTTAGTTATAATAGCCAGTTTGTCAATAATTCTAAATAAAAAAGGTAATCAAAAAAGACTTGCCATTGTTTGTAGTGAATATTGTTAATATTTTTTTAAATCAAACTAATGTCTAGTAGTAGAAGCGTAAGCTAATTTTTTTTATAAATTATTACGTGTTAAACATATATTATAAAGTGAGGTGGCGTACAGAAATACTGAAGGAAGTGAAACACTTTTAAATACTTACAACATTAGAGCTTTAATTTAGTGATGTGGATATTCGTGAAGCAGTTTTTGTTATTAAAGTTCCGCGAATTCCGGGTATGAAAGATATGTTGCTTCTGTTCGTAAATTATGAAAACTAAACATTACAAAATGTCAGTCTGTAAAAAAATTTTTACGAGTTCTACTCTTTACCGAAAATACTTTTACTATTGAGTGTTTTATGTAAATGGGTTAATATTGAATATATTTTTCTCCTGAATATATTTAGTTTTCACGTAAAAGTGACAGATTTTTCTAGAATTTGATGTCGAAAAACTTAATCGAAAAATTACATAGGGATAGGCAAATGTAATATGGCAGTCCGGGGCAAGTAAAACGTTTATTCCACTTGCTCCGGGTCAGGGGTTCATACCGATTTTAGAAATCTTCTAATTAAAAAAAAATTGATGTCATATTCACATAGTATATTTGTTTTTTAAAACCATGCTTTATGGCTATACTAAGTTCCGATAAGTGACGCTGTAGTCAAGCCATTAATAAGTATAGATAGATTTATATGATGACTCATATTATTCACGTTATGGAAGGTGACGCTATTTTCGAGCTATTAACAAATTTTATATTTACACTGTAAAAAGTCCAAAGTGAACTTGGAATACATCTTGCCGTTCCACCTTCCGGAAAGGACAGAACAACGTCTGTCGGCCCAACTAGTACATATGTTATAAAAACTTTCTTGCATATTATATATATAGACAGTGTGATAAGAGGAAAGTGTGGTTGGATGTTGCGACCAGGATTAAGGAATGTTTGGATACGTAAAAAGAATGAATGAGGAAGTGACAAAGCAATTTATGCTGCAAAAGTGAGTAGCAGATCAAGCGAAGGGCGATAAATTGAAGATGAGCTAAATCAAGAGTACACTTAACCCAGGCGCGTTTATGCGTTAATATATGGATTTGAAAAACGCGAGAAGTGAGCAAGGATCCTGTCAAATAGAAGTACGTAGTCTTTACCTACCCTTCCGAGTGATAGGCGTGTGACTTTATGTATGAATGTATGTATGATTTATATAGACGTAAATATATTATCAGATAGAGATAATAGGCACAGAGGTTGTGAAATCCAGCACATAAAGCTAATATATAATTTACGAAGATTCTCTAAATTAACATATTTATTTGAAGGGTTTTCGAGTTGTGGTTGAAAGACAGAGAGGAGGAGGGAATGGTTCTTTGTAGATAAAATGTTTAACGATAGTTCGGTCACGAATACTAAAACTTTAGGTGTTAATAAATAGTTTAGGAAACAAATGAATTAATTTTACTTCTACTGGATCTCATTAGATAAATTTTCCAATGTTCGATAAAATAATCTCAAAATAAAATGAACTTAACGTAAAT